CTGCTAACTTTAGCCGCAACAATGGTGGTCGAGGACCATAGCTATGTTGGCTGGCCGCCCATTGAGGCTCCTCTCACAGTTCCCAGAGACGAACATTGGAGCAGCTTCGACAGTTCTGTCAATGCCGTGTCGTTTGGCTTTGTAGCCACCGCCATTCTCATTTCTATGTTCTTGATTATGGCTATCTTCGAGAGATTCCTTAGACCCGCCTCGCCGGCGTCGCCGTCTCTTCCTGGTAGCCGGAGCAGAGGGGACATTGAGTCACAGCCGATGGGGAAGCTCGGTTTCCCATCCCCTAAAGTGAGTGAATCGTTTTAGATTTTGAGTTTTTAGCTTGCTAAAGCTTTTTCCTTTTTAGTTAGTCCTTTCTTTTTCAGTTTAGGTTCTCCTGAACTTAACTGGGAAATGCGAGATGGTCTTTCTTCCCTATGGAAATTCTGCATGCTTTGTTTAGCTTGAAATGATAATTTGGGTGGTTACTTTCGTTTCTGAGGAAGTGATAACTATCTCTGACAAAAGGTCTTTTTGCTTTTATTTTTTTTAAATGTTTATGGGATGCTTGCTTGTTCTTGAAATCTTCAGGTGTTTAAATGCCGCTATCATGAATTGCTTCAGTTGTCTGCTCCCAATTTATTAGATATTGGATCTGTAAAGAAAATTATGTTACTTGCTCTGTTCCTCTTCCCAAAGTATTTTCTCTGAGGTTCATGTCTCATTCAATTCTGTTCTTCGATTTATATCTCCATCTTCTCGGTTTTCTCTTTTCCTGTTTCATTTGCTCTCATTCTGCTCAAACACAAAATGGCATTCCTCTGTACATGTGGATCCCCTCTTCAATTGGCCAAACTTCGGTACGCGTGTGTCTGTATATAATTTTTATTTATTGACCTATTGATTGATGATGATTGATTTGGTTTACGAAAGGTACAACCTTCCCGACCAAATACCATACTCGCTTAATTATTAAAAAAGGAGGTGAACAATGTTAAATCCGAATGGCGTCTGAAAACCTCAGAATTTTCCTTTTTGTGATTTTTTTATGGAAATTGAATCTGAGATAGAGTTCTACCCCACCCCACCAAATTTTTTTAACTTCATTCTCATCTTCATTTACACGTTCTGCCAAAATCTTTCATTATGAGCAAACTGTGCTGTCTTCAGTCATCAGATGATGGTCCTTCCTTGGAGTTTTCTAATGAATGATTGGTCTCTACCTCTCATCTCTAGCCATCAGTCTTAGGTCTTTTATATGAACATCTTTGCATCGAGTCCCACCATTGTCCTCATTGTCCCTCCCTCCCGTCACTTCCAGTCTTTAATGATATCGTGCATGGCCTGTGTCTGTGGTCGGAGACAGATGGTCAACCTTTCAAGCCATGTCTTGTTTTAGTTTCTTCTTATCTTACAAACATTAATTGTCTACCTCTACCATGCTAGTTGCTAATAGATAAAGTGTGAATGACATTTTAATATTCAAAATTTTAATGCAGTATCCTATGATGAGCCACTGCTCTCCAACCAATTGTGGTGTCTACCTCATGCCAGTCTTTTATGGGGACATAGTAGGCCCACTTACTTATTCAACCTCAGTGTTTAATAAGAGGATTGATCCATAGCCTATAGCATTCATGATTCTCTGGTATTGGTCTTGAATGAAAAAGTTCTTTAATTCCATGAGGAAGGAATTTCATAGTTTAATTTTGGCATTTAGATTACATTAAGTATCTTTTTATGGTGTTAATGGAATACAGAATATATTATTTGGGGAAAAGCTTATTTTACTTGGGATTCTGAAAGGGGTTCCTTTATTGTTTATGGTTGTGGTGCTACTCAGAGAAACCATGGTGGACAAAATTTTCTGTTAGCAGAATTAATGTAACATCAAAGACAGTCGCATTTTACTGAGAGGGAATGCCTGAAGGCTAGTGACATAGAAATTAATATTTTAATACTTCGCTATCCATGGGAAATGATTTCAGAACAGCTTCAAATCAGGGTGTTTCAGGTCACTAGTTATCAAAGGGAAAGTGTATTTATTAGAAAGCAAGTGAAGGGGATTTTAAGTGTACACCAAGGGAAGGATCTAAACTAAACTATACTACTCCATCCGGTCCTTTTTTTAAGAGCCTGAAATTTGAATTGTCTGGTCCTTTTTGTAAGATTTCACTTGTGGTTGTCTCCCATTTTTGCCCCTAATTACATATTGCATTAATTAAAAGGTTGGCAAGTTGCTATGTTACATTCTCTTTCATATTCTCTCTCTCTTACTTGCCCCTTGTAAATAAGGGTATGCTTGGAAAGGACCGGAGGGAGATCTGTAAATAAGGGTAAATAAGGGGAGATTTGTAAAAAGGACCGGAGGGAGTACTTTTTTCTTCCCTTGGTCACTCTTGGCTAAACACTTGGTGAATGGCGAAATGTTTCAGGGGCAAGTCAATATCTGGTATGACAGTTTCACAAATTGGAAGCTCTCTACATTTCTCATTGGCAAATTTAATCTTATTCTGATCTGAGCAAAGTGAACCGGGAGAATATTCTGTGGATCTTGTAAACCTACGTGTGTCAGGCCTTTCGTTTTGTTGTTAATTGTGTTACGATGGGACAAATTCATTTGTTCGGTTCGTCTTAAAATCAATAATCTCCTGACATTACTTACAAGGTATGCTTCATCAACTCATTTAGTTTCCTTTTATGTTGCAGATGAGTGTATATTCCAGTGGGGTTTCAGTTCTGATGCCTGGAGATGAGATTCCTAGATTCATCGCCCACCCGGCTCCAATGCCATGGTGCCCTGAACGAGTCCTGTGGCCTTCCCACGATCATAATAAACCGTCATCTTGTTCCCCTTCCAACCCCATCTCTAGTATTAACCAAGTATGAACCGGAGAAACAAGAATTGATGAAGCGTCTCTGAAGACAAAGAAACAAGAATCGGGACTGTTCTTGAGGTTTTAATTATATTTTCACTCGGAGCAGTGCCTCTTCATAGCATGTAAATAGCACTTGGAGTAGGGAAAACTGGGTTTGACAATGAGGCTATCAAGTTGAAAGATCAAATCATGTCTCATTCTTGGAGTAGGGAAAACTGGGTTTGACAATGAGGCTATCAAGTTGGAAGATCAAATTATGTCTCATTCTTGTTCATGATCATGGAATTGAAAAATGAGATTTAAGTGGTTTATCCATAATGTAATTCTTGCCTGTCAAAATTGTAAGCCTTGTAAAAACGAATCAATTTGTGGCCTTCTAACTTCTACTCTGGGAGGTGTGAACTCGTTTCTGGATTGAAGTTGATCACAAAAGACCATCGGTCTAGTCTTTTCTTTGCTTGCATATTCATTCACACGCCACCATCTTTCATTTGACCATATACCGCCCTTTGTTAATTTCTCTTGTCAGTCTCGATCAAGAATCCTACAGTTCCATTACCAAATGCTGAATGTAGATGATCTACGAGCCTCAATGCCCAACTTTCTCCAGATTTTGACTCTGGGCGTGTGGGATTTTGACTTGAGGATCAGCAGTGGCCTATAAGGAAGCAAACATGGGCTCAGCCAAGGTGATAACGCTAGACTTTAATGGTGACCGGTATGGATGGGCCGCCGATGCAAATCTAGACATGAATCGGACTTAAATCTAAGAAGCAAGAGGCTAGCCCCAAAAAACAAAAAAAATCTAAACAGCAGGAGTGATTATGGCTTGTGAGATAATTTCTGATTTTTTTTTCATCAGCCGAATCCATACACGGTCGCTCTACCTCATTTGTATTGTATTGTTTATGTCCCTCAGTGTAGTAGGCTCCCACCTGTCAAATTATCAACTTTTTTTTATCAGCATGCACTATTGATCCTGAGCTTAGAAGAGTGGAAATTCTCAACTGATACAAAGAAGGATCGTTTAATATTGTTCCTAAATTGCTATTTTCAGAACAGTCCAATGGGAGCAAACGTTTCTGTTCAAATAAAAGTACATTTAAGTATAGGCCCTTTACTAGTACTAGCAAAAGCAAGACAAAGTGCTTCTTCCACTGACATTTTATTAGTCAAAATTTCAATTGTAGCCGGAACCCGTGATACGTTTTGAATTTCAGTGTGGTAGTGGAAGATGTTGAGGAATCGCAGAGCTTTTAAATAACGCCAAAACAACCTGTATATATGTAGTGTCCACAAAAAGATCTCATATGAGGTTTTATCTTCCCTGGGTTGAATTTTGAACTCTTAAGCTTTGAGCCATGGGACATTCTTTCTCTCTCTCTCTCTACGACCTGTGAAACAATCCAAAATAACAGATATGGTATTAACACCATGGATAGAAGCCTACAAGGAGAAAAGGACCATCAATGGTATTATTATAAAATTAGTGGACCACTATCTGTGATCTCTTTCCCCACTCAAGTAACGGCTACGTTGTGAATTTTCCCTCCATCTCTCAACCAAATCAAGTACATGCAGACATAAGCTACCGTAATATTGAGTTTTCCTTCCATATTTGCTGAAAATAACAATAAATTTGGTTCAATAACTTGAAGCGACATCACAAGTGGAGTTAATAGGGGGTGAAAATTCTCTCCTAACTGACAGTTCAAATAGTCTGTCATAAGATATATTTGTGTATCACACACGGGTGAAGCCACAAATGGGTAAATAATTGAATTTAATGTTTCTACCTTTAAAATCATTCAACAACGCATGAAGGAGACTTTTAACCTCACAAATTTACCCTGTCCACTCTCTCATCATCAGAGCACGAATTTTCCTCTGCATAAAGAACTTCACTACAGTTACTCCATTATCTTATTCTTCTTCCTACTGAACTAATAATTGCAACGATTCAATAGCATTTCATTGGTCCCTGAAAGACGAGTTTCTTGGTACACAGAGAATCCTATATGGCAGAAACGAAATCTTCCCTAACCTGGCAAGCGCTGCATTAGAAGGAATCTTGTTGCAGGAGAGAAAACAGAGCAATGATATGGTAAAATAATAATAACAGGTCAATTCTTTTTGGCTTAACTACAATCAGTTACGTATTCCAATATCCAAAAGTTCATATCAGGACAAATCGTTGAGATACTCGTTTCGTTGTTTTGGGCTTGAGGCCTTGCCCTAGCCTTACCCCCTCTTCTATGTCCTACCACATGACCTTTGACTTAGAAATATTTACACCCTCCTAGTGCATTAACTGCAAAATATTTCAGTACAGAAATTATTATTCGGTATACGACATGTCGTTCAGACTCTGCTCACCAACTCTCCGGCTGGCAATGGCGAGCCACAACCTGCATTATCGCAAACTCGCAATGGGGTGATTTTTCAGAGAAATATGAAGCATTCCAGTGACACAAGAGGGTTTTCCAGTGATTCGTTCGCCGACGCAGACGGCCATTTGCCTTCTGTTCCGGAATGTTCCTTTCTCCGGCCGCCATTCTCTGGTGTGGGGGTTCTGGCTCGTGCAGGGGACTGATTTGGTCTTCTCTTCGATGGGCTCCGACCCACGATGGATCTAGTGGCTCCGTTGTCTGTACGCATGGCAGGTGACCTCGATCTCCGAGAGGAGTTCTCGCCTGCGTCCCGCCAGCGAGGCTCGCCCCTCATTCCTCTGTTGCCCATTGTTTGACTCCGAACTAGTTGGTCTCTGCTTGGAGTTTGCCTCGCCGACCCGATATTCCTCCGACCCGGGGATTGCTCCGGCCTCCTGGTCGGTGATTTGCCCACCGTCTTATCCCTTCTATCGCCGGAAAAGGATCGATTTTTCCGCATTTTTGCCGGCGACGAGCTGACCCTTTGGCGGATTTCGTCGTCGTCTTCTTTCCTGTCAGCTGTTGTAGTGGTCGACATCATGCTCTCGCTCAAGCTGCAAGCCTCCGAAACCTCAGAGATCTCTTCTTCCTTTTTGATGGGCGAGGGCACCTTGTTGATCTTGCTGCTCACTTCTGGAAACTTGTGGAATTCAGGTTTCTGAGGCGACTTTTGAGGCTCCAAGTTGGCAATTTGGGGCCTCCATTTGTGGGTTTCGGGGAGAACTTCCTTGACAGTTTCCTCTTCAGGGGGTGCTCTGTTTTCTGAAACTTTGGCAGAGGAAGAAGAATTAGATCTCGGTGGCGCCTGGTTCTTGAGGACGACAGAATTCTGGTGTTTTGGTGGTGATGAAGCTGAGGATAGATCTCTGTGCGTACTCACACAGCAACCCATGTGGATTCTTCCGGAGTTGAAGCTCTTGAGAAATGGAAAGAGTGGGAGGAGGAAGCAGGCGTAGGGAGTCTATGAAGGAAGGGACATTTTGCAGGTGGAGGGAAAGAGAAGGTTAGATAATTTGGCGCTAGACTGTGAGGAGTGGAGTTATAGAGGGGAAGAAGGACACAGAGAAGAGAAGTGAAAGGAAGACGCGGGTAGTTGAAAGAGAGTGAATTTGTTGGCGTCAACGAGAGGCATTTATTTTAGATCTCCGAGTTGAGCAGTCACGCAAGTATTTGGAGACGCATTCATTTTTGCCTGTAAATTGATCAAAAGGGTACCAGTACAAAAGAGAGGCGCAGCGGTAAATTATTGTGATGCAAATTATATTAATAGTATTATTTCCATGGATTTTCTCTCGTCTTAAATATAAAGTAGAATTAACTAATTTAACAGTTCTTAAGGAGTGATACATAATAATGTTGTTAAATTTGTTTTAAAAGAAGAAGAAGAAGAAGGTGTCACTCTTTAGTTTTACCCAAATTAATGATCACAGTAATAGTTATCCAGAATCACTTTATTTTAAAACACTATGGGGGTGTTTGGATATAACTAAACCATAGTTTAGAGAATAGCTTCTGGAGAATAAATTTTGGAGAGAATAGATTTTTTGAAAAATAGATTTTGTAAAAAAATGATTCTAAGAAGTGAAAGTGTTTGGATAGTTGTTACCAGAAACACTTTTTACATGTACAAATTACTAAAAAAAGTATAAGTTAATATGATAATTACAGAAAAAATATATTTTATGATATATTTTAATTTGAAAGAATAAAATTGTTAATAATATATTTTTTATTAACATGATTAATAATACATAAGATAATATAATTAATAAATAATTAATATGTATATATATTTATAAGATATAAGATTAAATATATTTATAAAAAAATATGTTTATAAAAAAACAACAAGATACATATCTTATAGGCTCTCACACTTTCCCTTTTTTTTTCAAAAGCAAAAAAATTTTGCTTTTCTCAAAACCATAGTTTTGGTTTTTTTAAGGGTGTTTGGGTGATTTTTTCCCAAACCATGATGTGGGTTATCACCCAAACACCCCCTATGAAAAAGATTATAAACATTAGCTACCGCGCCTTTCTCTTTATTTTTAAGGCTAAGAGGTGTTTGAGATATTCAAAAATAATTATTTTGTGTTTTATAAGACAGAATTTTTCTCAATTCTCACGTAGCAAAAATACTTCTCTTAAATGTGGACATGGAATTGAAGGCGAGGATTAGGGAGAGGCCCATCATTGAGAGGGTGGAAGTAATCACAAAGGGCGGCGGCTGTTAATGACACAAGACCGATCCGTCACATGTAAACAGGAAATGGCAAATTTCATCTTCCTTACAATAAATTACTCCCTCCGTTCCTTATTATAAGAGACATTTGATGCTTATGACATATTCCTATATATAAGAGACACTTAAAAGTTGTTTCTACTTTTTTGTATTGATTTCTTATTTTACCCATATTTATTGTCTCTAACTCACACTCTCTCTCCTTCCCACTTCTCTTTCTTTTAATAATTTACCATTCTCCTCTCTCATGCTCTCTCTCCTTATTAATGAGGGCATTTTTAGGAAAAAAATTATACTTTTTACACATTAATTGTTCTTAATTAATTTTAACTGTTTTTTTGAACAACGTAATTCGGTTATTCGTCTCTTATAATAAGGAACGGAGGGAGTGTTAAGCAAAAAAAATGAAAGAAGATAATGATATCATTAATCATCAACAAAGAGATGCAATAAACCCTCTAGGATTACCTGAATCATTTCTTAAAGGAGGATAGCCAACAATCCAATATTATTAAGATGAATGAGAGAGACCCAAGTTATCTTCTCTTTCTTTGGTGGGAATTTCACATCTTACACACTAAACACATATCAAATTAGATCTTTTATATAGATGTATCTTAACTAGCTAGTAAAACTTAATATCTCTGGCATAACTTTGAATTGTTTGTACTCATCCTTTTAATTTAAAAAAAGAAAAAGAAGAAAGGAAATAGATTACATCCCCACACATTTTTTTTCTGTTGAATTGCACCATTCGACCACAGAATTACGCCCGTGAAGTATAATTTGCGTGTTGTGTAGGTAAGTAAAATACAGAAGTAAGGGGTCAGCATATCTAAGAAATAAAATATCAACCCATGTCATATTACATAGAAGTAAAATGAAATTAAAACACAACTATATAACAATTATACATAAGTATTTGGATAGAAACCAAATCAGAATTTTAAAAATGATTTTATGATATACAAAATAAATATGCAAAAAAACTTTATTATGGTTTATATGAAAATACTTTTTAGAAGTGCTTTTTATCATCCCAAACACCTCTGTATATATATTAAATCCAATCAAAGAGACAAGTTTACAAAATTCTGTCTTTGAATAAAGACACAAATTATCCAAATAAAAAGAAGTGTAGACAATGAAGAAAACTCAGGCTGCAGCCATCAAGCTCCAAATCCAAATCCCTTAACACTGTCCTTACCTCTTTGTTACTCAGAAGTCAGAATGCTACTCCTCTCACTTTCTGGGCCATTGCTTGCAGAGAATGAGCTTCACCACAAAATTAGCTAGATGGGTTGCTAGTTAAGCCAAGCTGCGACTTTGATCTAAAAACACCAAAATCCAAGATATCACTGTCGAAAATTTATTTCTGACCTCATTTGTCTGGTGTTGCTATATATTTACAACCAAACTTCATGCTATGAATTAATAGCTATACATATCAATCCATGACTAAGAAATTTGCAGTGTTTTGAAACAATTTAGCCAGATAATGTTAAGTCTTTTTAAAAAATAAATTATTCACCAGTTTTTTTGTCATACATATAATGTTGAACTAATCGCCTACTCAGAAGAATATTGTTTTTTTAACCAACTGCTCAATCATGCGAGGTTCTGAGATACCTTAAAAACCTTATCTTTTTGTGTGCTGAAAGGTAACATGGAAGCTGGAACAATTATGTACACACACACACACACACATATTTGTTGGCACAATATATGCATACATATACATATATATATATATATATTGGTTTCTAGTGTATGTTTGCCATTTGACAGCCATGTGATACCCTGCAAGTAGGGATATGTGGTTTTTCTTTATTACCAATCATGCATAATAAAAAATATATATAAATATACTGGTGTAGTGCATGGTCAAGTGTCTATATTATATTATATAATGTTGGTGGTGGACGAAATGGAAGATGACGAGGAAGAAGGATCTGCTAGGTTTGATGCCATGAAGGAAGCATTCTGTTTAAAAACAATCTGTTAGAACTTGGAACCATACGTGCAGAGAGAGAGAAATAAACAAACAGAGAAAATATTCTTGCACAGTAGAGTAGTGAAAATCAAGAACTCTGAAATTTACTGGCGAGTACTTATTCAGGGGCTTGCTGCGGCATTATTATTCCCAGTGAGTTTAAAAAAAAAAAATGGTGAGGAAGAAAAAGATGCGCTTTGCTCGTACCTTCGATGACAGAATAAATCATTTCTAACGTCTTCTTCTGAGCAAGCATTCTTTTCTTCTTCTTTTTTCCCCCGCTCTCCATGTTCTCAGCCTTAGGCTCCATGCACGGCCATGTCGTTTTATTAATTTCACCCCAAAGTTTCTTACCACATATTTATCTTCTATCTTATTTATAAACTATAAATAGGATCTTATAATTAGAATAGAAGGTACTCCTTTGATTCTTAATATAGGACCTAATTGCAGAGTTGATTTTGGTTCTAAATATAAAACATATTTCTTATATTTATTAATTTTACCCAAATCATCTCTATTGATACTCCATCAACCATAATCAAGTGTGAAAGGGAGAGAGGATATAATGAAGATGATTAAGATATTTTAGGAAAAACATGTCATATTTATTATAGTTAACTAAGTTACCTAACTTATTTAATCTAATCAAATTAGTTAAACAGGTCTTATATTAAGGATTGGATAATGAGGAGTAGTTTCTTACCATTCAAAATATTACTGTATTTGGATCTGATTTTGACCCTTATCCGCATTGCACATAAAGTAGTTGTAATCTAAATAATATTATACCTCTCCCCTTAATATAATATAAAAGGTATTTAGGGGTTAGATTTAGTTTGATTTTAAATAGAATACCTCAATTTATTTTATAATATTTTTTCAAAACATCTTTGTTAGTTGTGTATGTTAGGAAGATTTTCATCAAGATGTAGTTTCAACTTTCAATGCAAGTGATTGGAGATGATAGTTTAGAAAAACTAACAGATACATATGTTACAAGTAATTGATTTAATTAACTTTATTAATATTTATAAATTTATTATCCAGTTCTCATATTGGCAATACGAGTTAGTACAAACCATTTGTCAGATCAAGGGTGAAGAACAACAGTACTAACCAATTTGGATGCAACCATTTAATTGCTTCGTGATGAGTTTGCATCAAGAAATCAAATTACCAAAGAAACAAAAAGACCACATTACTATGAAGTGTCATAGGTTGCATTATTAGCCATTAATCTGTGAGGGGGCATGTCCCTCATAAATGGGGGGTGGGTCACACTTCTGCATGGCACTTGTCATTATTTAATGTTCAATTAGTCATTTTACTTTCATGGTATCTGAATTGAACACGGCCACCTGCTGGCAAAAACAAAAAATTGAACACTGCCGTCTCTAAAGGCATAATTACCATGCTCATGTCGTATGACTCTGACCGATAATTAAACCCAAGCTGAAGAATTAATAATGATAAGATTCTACTGACTTCGCTTGAACCCCTCAGTAAATAATTATTCATTTAAGACTTACTGAAAAAGGTACAGCCCCGGCATTAAGTTACCTCGAATTTAGCAAACAATAAGACTAATGCACGGCACATCATTTATACCACTCCACTCCTGTCATTTGTAGAAGCTTTGGTCATAAATATATTATTTGTAGTATTTTAATGTTTATTTTTTAATTTTATCTTTATTTAATTGTTACTTC